CTAGGGATCAAACGCAGAGAGGAAGCCATGTTGGAAACACAGATGAAGAAGAAGGGGAAAAGAGATGAAGGAGGAAAATAGAAATTGAAAAAAGCGCCTGCAAGCAATAAAAGGAAAAAAAGCAGGACTTACGAAAACCCCCTGACATGGCTGACGTAACCGCTACACACACGTCGAAGCGTCACATCGCCGAAAATGAAACGACGACCAAGTAAAAGCGTGACACGTACGCTAGTAGTTAAGTCCAGAATGTCATAGCTAGCTAGCATAGGCTCACTACTGGACTGGGGGACTTGATGACGCGCCCCTTAGAGCGGGCTAGAGACAAGAGAACCCCCGACGAGAGCAGTTAAGTCCAGAACGTCATAGCTAGTTATCATACGCTATGACTACTGGACTGGGGGACTTGATGACGCGCCCCTCAGTGCGGGCCAGAGACAGGAGAACCCCCGGCGAGGAGTTCCTAACGAAGCCTGGGCAGGCGACTCGGCCGCCCTGATCGCCCGAGACCCACAAGAGGAGACCGCGTGGGAAGTCCGCCCTCGCCAGGGGTTGTCCTCAGCTACAGTCCAAAGTTAACGGCTCCAGGCGACAAAGAGCATGACCAGAGCATTATCGCCTGGACCAATCGTTGGACCGGACACGAAAGTGGAGCATGGTCGTCCAATAAGGACGGCGGATCCTGTCGGGGTCGCAGTTCATGTCCCTCGTACGGATCGATGAAGATCCTCAGTATAAAAGGCCAGTCACTCTGCCTTGAGAGGTAAATTATTCTCTCCCGATCATTCACCCTCATACTTCCAATATTCCTCCCACTAACTTGACCGTCAGAGCGTCTTTCCGGGACCTCCCCCGGAAGGCGGCTGACGTTTCTTTCTTCTTTGTGACCTCTCAGGTTCTATTCCATCGATCATCTCCCAGCAGCAAAGGTGGTTCAGGTCGCATCATATATATATATATATATATATATATATATATATATATATATATATATATATATATATATATATATATAGGGGTGAGATCGGTTAAGAACTCATAGTTTCCCGAGAACCCGAGAACTAAAAGTGGAGCGTTAGATCAAAACTAATTCAATAAGGGCATGATCGTAATCATACACATCTCATTTAATGTTTAATTTTTTGTGTTATTGGAAACATTAATAAAAAAATTTAAAAAATAACATAATTTTTTAAAAATAAAAATAAAAGATATTTAAAAAAAAAACTTGAATTTTTTCAAAAAAATAACTGCATTTTTTTCTCAAAAAAACTGCAATTTTTTCAAAAAAAAACTGCATTTTTCTTAAAAAAAACTGCAATTTTTTCAAAAATAAAAAATAAAAATGCTTTTCTTTTTCAAAAAATAGCATTTTTTTTAAAAAAATCTGCAAACTTTTCAAAAAAAGCTACAATTTTTTTAAAAAACCTATAATTTTTTTTTTTAAAAATGCATTTTTTTTTAAAACTACAGTTTTTTCAAAAACCACATTTTTTTTCAAAAAAAACTACAATTTTTTCAAAAAGACACTATTTTAAAAAAAAAAATTGCATTTTTTTGGTGCATATATGCATATTTTTGGTACATTTATGCATATTTTTACAAGTGCATATATGCATATTTCATATATTATAATATTTGTAAAGGAATCATAAGAAAACTCATTTTATTTACTAATCTATAAACACAATACAATAAGTATTTTATTCGATACAATATAAAATATCAAAAACAAAAAAATGCTACAAAATTTCAAAGCGTTTTCATGTCTTTTTGTCAATATTTCCATATCAATTTATTTTTCACATCTTCAATATTCACCACAATTTCTTCCAAATCTACAAAAAAAAAATAAAAAAAAATTTATTGATGCAAAAACACTCACAAAAATACATATATGATTTATATGTGAATCACATATAATTCATATGCGATTTATCTGTGAATCACATGTAATTCATATGTGAATTACATATGATTTACATGTGAATCACATATAATTTATATGTGAATTACTGTGAATTACATGTGAATCACATGTAATTCATATGTGATTTACATGTGAATCACATGTAATTCATATGTGAATTACATATGATTTACATGTGAATCACATATAATTCATATGTGAATTACTGTGAATTACATGTGAATCACATGTAATTCATATGTGAATTATATGTGATTCATATGAGAATAACATGTGATTTACATGTGAATAACATGTGATTTACATGTGAATTACATGTAATTCATATGTGAATTACATGTGATTTAAATGTGAATCGCATGTAATTCATATCTGATTCACTTGTGACATGTGATTCATATATAATTTATATATAATTCACTTGTGATTTACATGTGAATTATATGTGATTCATATGTGAATTACATGTGATTTTCATCTGAATCACATGTAATTCATATGTTATTCACTTGTGACATGTAATGGTTTTTTTTATAAAAAACCATTTTTATAAAGTACACCATAATGCATTAACAAAAGCAAACCAAACCAAACCAAACCTTTGCTTATGAGCGAGGAGCGGACATTTGTTCCTTGTTTATCATGTTTTACCATGTTGTTTGTGATTTACATGTGAATCACATGTAATTCATATGTGATTACTTATGATTTACATGTGACTCATAGTAGACTTGTTAAGTTTTTCATTACAGGAAAGAAATACTCCTTAAAAAATAAGTATGTGAAGTTTAATATATTTTTTCTTTCTAAAATAGGTTATTTAACATAAAAGAAACCAGTAAAATATGGATATTTTCTAGATAAAGGGAATTTAATTCTGGACCACTTTACCCTTGCCATAATTTAACCTGTGAAAGATGTGAACACATTAGGATTTTCAATTCATCACTAGTCTTACAAAGCAGTCAAATATCAATGGAAACAATACCTTAAAATATCGGAAGAATGGAGTTGTAACAAGCTCGTGCAACAAGGGATATAAAACATCTTCATTAACAATATCAACAGTCTCATAATCACAACAACAGTCCTCAACAATGTCTGTATATTTATGAGAATATTGCTCAATGGACAAAGGGGAAATATCAAATTAGTAATGATAATCTAACTTCACATCCAAACAATTCCAATTATCTCTAAATTACCTAAACATGATTTGATGAAGTATTTACAGAATCTGCATCTCAAAAGTGTGTCTATGAAGCAGTAACAAAACCTGTAGTTGAGGTATGTGAACATTGCTTGATTTTTGAAAACTGAATCATGCTTGTTTGACAGATGCCAATATTCTGAACACTGTATTCTCATATCTATATGTCATCATCAAAGCTCTTGTATTTACCTGTGCAGGGTGTGTTGAATGGGTATAATGAAACAATTATGGCTTATGGTCAAACAGGAACTGGCAAAACTTATACACTTATGAGCAACACGTGACCAACATGGTTCCCTTAAAATTTCCATTATTCTTTACAATTTACAAAATGCTAAATATGTTTTATTTAAAAAAAGAATATTTATTATTTACCAGCAGTTGTATGAACATTAAGACCACCATCAAGAACAAAAATCTCCAAACTACCCTTGATTGGCTTCACAACATTTTTAAAAGTTGATGGCGTTCTTTTAAACTTTGATGTATAACACTTGTGTCCCCATCATATAAAATATCAAATGCAACATCTACAAATTTCCAAAATCAAGGTTTTAACATATTTTTTTAATAGAATAAATATATATTATATGTTGTTGCAGGTTATGAAAGGATACAACATAATTGTAGCTCACTAGTGAGTCCCTCTCTTGCTGCGTTAGCTACAAAACATAAAAAAGTCAAAATTAGTCAAACATGAAACATTAGGAAGATATATAGGGATGATGAATATTTTTCAAAACCTATTTCTTGATTTGAACCAAAATCAGCAAAACGATCGGTTGATGTGTACCAAACTAACATTTCTCCATCAAGTATACCTAAATATTCACTAGTAACTATTTCAAAAGTTAGATCACTTAGGATTGCATCTAAATGGACTTGAATACAGGTTCTAACCTAGCTTTACAACATACGATAAGAACAAAATTATCTCCACAGTCATCAACATACGAATCGATACCAGATGAATTGATATAGCTTTACATCATGACTAGAATCAATCTACGAGTGTTACCTGGATTCAATTTCTCAACAAGTTGATTTGATTAAAACATCGATCTGGAATGGTGAGAGAAGAGGAGATGTGAATCAATTGTCGGGATAAGGAAGAAATATGAATCAGTCGTCGGAGATTAGGAGGAGATCGATCGCCGGTAACGATGAGAGAATGTGAGGCGGAGATGAGGAGGAGATCGATCCACCATCAACCGATTTAGGTCTTCGACGATCACTGCTGCAATCGAAGATGAACATGACTGACATCGATTCTTGGATCGTGGGGTATTCGTCGATGATTTAGACATTAATGGCAGTGGATTGGTTGTAGTCTGCAGTGGTAGAGGTGGTCGATCGAGGAAGGAGGGACGAAGAGGGAAGAGATGCGGTGAAGAAGACAACTGTGAAGACGACGCCGTGAGAGAGAGAGAGAGAGAGAGAGAGAGAGAGAGAGATGTTTAATCAGGGGAATTAAAATAATTATTTTATTCCTAAAATGTCCCTGATTCATTTCAATTTCTTTACCCCCATGTCTTATTTTTCCTAACTATTTACAAAAATGCCACAAAACATCATAACCATCTATTATTTTGATCTAACGGCTCTCGTTTGGTTCTCGGGTTCTCGGGAAACTTTGAGTTATCAAATGATCCTTCCTCTATATATATATATATATATATATATATATATATATATATATATATATATATATATATATATATATATATATATATATATATATATATATATATATATATAAAGATTAGATTCCTCAATTTACTAAGTTTTAAACCTTAATCCGAAACTCTTGCGACTGTGTTGATTTGCAAATGCCCGCAGGGCAGTTTTGTATCTTCCATGGGAACCAATGTCAAAACCTTAACCAACAAAATCTCCACCTATCTAAAACTCAACAACCTCTCCAAAGCAGTTTTCACCTTGTATGAATCTACGGTCCCCTTCGACTTCTCTCTATACGCATCCCTCTTCAGTCTATGTGGTTCGAGACGTGCCATCGTCGAAGCCCGTAAAGTCGAATCCCATCTAATTACCTACAATCCAACACCACCAATTTTCTTATTGAACAGGGCGATTGAGGTGTATGGGAAATGCGAGTGTTTGAGAGATGCAAGGGAACTATTCGACGAAATGCCTCAGAGAGATGGTGGGTCCTGGAATGCTTTAATTTCAGCATATAAGCTTAATGGGTTAGCGCAGGAGGCATTAGGTTTGTTCTTGGATATGAAGGATGATGGGTTTCCATGGAATGAGGTTAGTTTTGCTAACGCTTTGGGATGTTGCGGTTCACTTTTGGAAATTTCTTTTGCTAAGGGAATACATGGACTAGTCGTAAAGTATGGGTTTTGTGCGAATGTGATTATCGCGAGTTCCATTATCGATGTTTATGGGAAATGCAGGTTTTTGAGCGATGCGAAGAGAATGTTTGATGAGCTTCGTAACCCAAATGAGGTTTCTTGGAATGTGATTATCAGGAGGTATTACGACATGGGCAAAGAGAGGGAGGCAATAGTTATGTTTTTTGAAATGGTCAGAAGGAATGATGTTATGCCATTGGCTTATACAGTCTCGAATGCCCTTCTAGCTTGCTCAAAGATTTCTGCTTTCAATGAAGCTCTCCAAATCCATTCTTTTTCCATCAAAACAAACCTGGTAAACACGTTGGTAGTTTCAGGATCTCTCATTGACATTTATGCAAAACATAGAGATCTCGATAGTGCTCACAAGATCTTTAACCAGCCAAATGCAAAAAACTTGATCACCTGGACTTCAATGGTGACAGCATATGCCACAAATGGTCAAACCAAACACGCACGGAAACTGTTCGATGAAATGCCTGAAAGAAACATCGTATCATGGAACGCTATGCTAAATGGCTACACCCGCCATTACAAATGGGAATCCGCCTTAGAAATCATATATCTAACAACCAAATCAAACATCATTATCGATCATGTCACAATCATGTTAATCTTAACCACATGTTCCGGCCTTTTATCCCTTGAGTTAGGGAAACAAGTTCACGGATATGTCTATAGGCATCATTTCAACTCTAATCTCTTCATCAGCAACGCCCTTCTTAACATGTATGGAAAATGTGGAGACTTGAGAAGTTGTAGATCGTGGTTTTATCAAATGAGCCACTTTCGGGATAACATTTCTTGGAATTCAATCTTGACAAGTCATGCACGACATCAAAGAAGTGAAGAAGTGATGAAAGTCATTTGGAAGATGCTAGAAGAAACCCCACCAAATGAGCACACTCTTGCAACCATTTTAGCTGCGTGTGCGAATCTTTTCGCCCTTCATCAAACCAAAGAAATCCACGGGTTTTTAGTTAGAAATGGTTACATTATGGACATTGTTACAAAAGGAGCCTTGATTGATGCATACTCAAAATGTCGTTGTTTAAGTTACGCACTTGTGGTCTTTAAAGAAACATGTTCACGGGATTTGTTTCTTTATAACTCTATGATATTGGGATGTTGTCACAATTCAAGGGGTGATTTAGCTCTTGATCTTTTTGAGATGATGAAAGATGAAGGGTTAAAACCGGATAATACCACATTTCAAGGGGTTTTGCTTGGTTGTGTATGTGAGGGTAGGGTTGATTTGGGTAGGGAGTGTTTTGATGGAATGAGTAGTGAGTATTGTGTTATACCACGGTTGGAGCATTATGAATTGGTGATTGAATTGTATGGGAGGTATGGATACATTGGTGAACTTGAGAAGTTTGTTAAAGAAATGCCATTTGATCCGACTGTGTCTATGTTGATTAGGGTTTTTGATGCGTGTTATGAGTATGGATATGAGAGGCTTGGGAAATGGGCTGCGGATCGGCTTAATGAAATGAACCCATTGGTCCCATACCGATTTGAGCTCACGAATTATGATAGGATAGCCACGTGATGAGGTGAGTTTTTGAGTTTTAGCAGTTGCAGTGTCAGAGTTTCAGTTCCAATATGGATTGACCATAAAGTTCCAATATGGATTGACCTACTTATGGGTATTGAGCACTTTTGTCATACCTAATTTACATCATAGACCCCATTGGTGGTATCTTTTGTAGAAAGATGTGAGATTTGAGTTGCATGTGGGAGTTTTAGTTTTAATGCGAGTATTGAACACTTATGCCAACAACCTAGATGATCACATAACTGTGTGTTGGATAACCATTTTGTAGATACATCAACTTGATGATAGCTGAACTTTATACAAGATATACAATGTGCTTACTTTAGAATGACATGATTTATTTATTTATTTATTTTTTGTAATGAGCTTAAGTCAGTTAGGTAGAGTCTTGGGCAATTTCAAACTAGTATTTAAATAATGCATCAAAGTAGTTCAATTTGTTTATTTTATAATAAAAATTTGGGTTAATCATCTTTTTATATTAAAAAATATACGATTATATAAAAAATTAGAACATAGTGGATTTGTTATCGGTTTATACAGCCATGTTTTAATTTGTTACTAAACCTTTACCAAAGAAATCAAATTTAGTAAAGAAATCAACTTTAGTTCATAAACAGACAAAAAAAAATGACGACAAACGTAAATAAATAAGCTATGTTTTAATTATTTTTTTCCCTTAGCAATTGAAGGATTCTATCGAATCTTCTTTTTTAAGATTTTGGAGGATTTTCATTGAATATGTAGTAATACATCTCACATGATGACTCTTTATAGTCCCAAGATCATCATGTGAGATGTAAATCAAGAAAAATAATGACATAAAACTGTGTGTTTACGAAAAGCTCAATCTACACAAAAACTATAACTAAAAATCTCACACAACAAAAGTTAAAGACTAAACCTTTAACTGTTTTTGCTAAGTATACCACGGCATAACCAACTATAATTTCTTCACCAATAACCTTTGCAAGAACACGATCCGTTCTTAAAATGATGAAAGCGACTCGAATCCCTCAATATTATCTCATGATCAATAATCTTGGATATATATACCATCGCAACATGACAATCCCCACAAACCCTCAAATTTTTCGTGATCCTAATCGGTTGACCACAACTCGTGGTCAATATCCCATACGCAAGAGCCAATTTCTCACTATGTTCAACCAAATTATCACCTTTCTCTTCATCATCCACATCATGTAAAGCAAAACTCGTATCCGGAACATACCCAAGCTCTTTAATCCTATGAATCAAATCACCAAGAACATCATAAATCTCATCCGATCTCGCATGATCTTTGTCCCCAACATAAAACGTCACCAAACCCGTCTTCCCTTGAACACAACTCCACCCTGGTCTTTTCTTGATTCCAGAACCTTTCATTAAAAACCGAATCTTGGAAACATCTTTCCAACGTTTCGTATCCGCATATATATTCGAAAGCAGTGTATACGTCCCATCGTTTTCACACCCTAATTCTAATAACTTATCACACGCGTATTCCGCTAGCTTCACATTTGTGTGGACCCTACACGACCCGAGTAAAGCAACCCACACTACCGGGCTGGGCTCCACGGGCATGGTTTCGATAACCTCCATGGCTTTCTCCAACTGCCCGGCCCGCCCGAAAAGATCAACCATACACGCGTAATGCTCCACCCCGGGCACAATCTTGAATTCCTTCGTCATGGCGTCGAAGCACTCCATTCCTTCGTTTACAAGACCGGAATGGCTACACGCGTAGAGAATGACTAAAAATGTTACACCGTCGATCCGGAGACCGGAATCGGAATCTCTCATTCCGGCGAAGAGTCGGAGAGCTTCGTGGCCGTAACCGTGCATTCCGTATCCGGTCATTAACGATGTCCATGAGACAGTGTTTTTTTGTTCCATGGTGTTGAAAACTACACGCGCGGTGTCGAGGTCGCCGGATTTTACGTACATGTCGATGAGGCAATTATGGGTGAATAAAACATCGGAATGGAATTGGGTTCGCAGGATGTAACCATGGATTTGTTTACCGTGTCTTAGATTGGCAAGGCGTGCACATGCCATTAACGCGCATGAGATTGTGAAGGCGTTTGGTGTTGTGGGGGTGTTTTCGTAATTAACCATTTGTGAGAAGAGTTTTAACGCGTCGTTGGCTTCACCGTGTTGAGCATACCCACCAATCATGGCTGTCCACGTGACAACGTTTCGATTTAAAGGTAGGATCGGATCGAAAAGCTTACGTGCAAGATCTATGGATTTGCATTTGGCGTACATGTCAATGAGAGAATTGATTACCATTTGTTCATCTCCATTGTCGTTGTTCTTGATGTTCAGAATCTTTTTGATGACGTGGCAATGAATCTCCTTACCTTGAAGTAATGACCCAACACTTGCACAGCCAGAAAGTAGGGAGACTAGAGTGACCACATTGGCTTCAGAACCCGAAAATACCATTTGTCGGAAAATATCAAGAGCTTCATGGCCATGGCCTCTCTGAGCATAACCAGAGATCACAGCACTCCATGTCACCACATTTAACTCAATCTTCTCTTCTCGCATCTTCTCAATTAAACCAAGAGCATCTTCAAATCTACCGATCTGGGAATGGCCTGTAACCATGGCGTTCCAAGAAACTACATCTTTCAATTCCATTTGCTCAAATACTCTGTTTGCGTCATCCATTAATCCACATTTGGCATACATGTCGACTATGGCATTACCCACGAACAGATCTTTAATGAGTTGGGTTTTCAATGCGTAAGCATGAGCCTCCTTCCCTTGAATCGATGCTTGAACAGAAGCTAAAGCAGGAAAGATGTTAACAAGGCTTACAGCATCGGCATGAAGCTGGTTTTCTCCTTTTGTCATTCGATAGAACATATGGAGTGCCTTTTTTGAATCACCACTCTGCATATAAGCTGCAACGATTGAGTTCCAGGAGATGACGTCTGTAATTTCACTAAGAATCATTTCATCGAACACCTGGCGGGCACTATCCAAATCACTGCACCGACCATACATCGTCACCAACGCATTACCCACAAACACGTTATTCTCGTACCCAAGAATGCAGACAACTCCGTGAAATGACACGCCACGACGGAACGACGGGAGCTCTCCGCAGGCCTTGAGAACAAAAGGGAAAGTGTACCCATCAGGACGCCAACCAAGGGACTGCATACCGTGATAAAGCTCGAGAGCGTGGTCGAGTAAACGGAGACGAACTGCACGTCGAATAAGAGAGTTCCACCAGAACACAGACGACGGTGACGGCGGTATACGAGAGAGGGTAACAAGGGCGTGTGATGGGGCGTCGCAGGAGATGTACATACCCACGATTTTTTGTAATGCCGTAGGGTCTGAGGCTGCAAGGCCATTCACTGTGAGTTGTTGGTGAAGAAGCTTGACTTTGGTTACGGAGCTGCATTTTTCGAATACGTGAGCAGCGGTTGTGAAGAAGGCCGACAGCTGGTGGTGGAGGCGTTTCAAATGTGGTGGGGTTGGGAAACGGTGGCGCATACTATGACCGGCGGCGGTTGTTTCATTATACAGAAAGCACTTCAAATATTGGGGATTTGCAGTTCATAAATATTTAAAGAAGAAAAATAATATCTTTAAATTGTAAATGCACAAATAAAAACCTTGTGCTATGTATTTTTTTGGGGTTTTAATCTAAACCCAGACTCTTTTGGATTCGTGGTCCTTTTGACTATGTTTGCTTATGAGTTTGGTCCCTTGGAAATCTGAAAAGACTAAAATGCACTTTCTGATATATTTTTTATGTTTTTTCATTTTAATTTAAAGAAAAAAGAAAATAATTAATTAATTTGGGGCCACATCTCTCTCTCTCTCTCTCTCTATCTCTCTCTCTCTCTCTCTCTCTCTCTATATGATACTAAAATGCAGTTCTTCATAATCCCAATATTTCTTCCATTTTTGTGTTCTAGGTTATAGAGGTAGAAAGATTCACTTGAACAATATCTTGAAATCAAATCATGTTCATTATACTAGTTAAATCCTTGTAATATGTAGTTTAAGGAAAAAAAACACGAAAAAAGTAAACATTAATCCATACCACAGGGGAGAAAATGGGAAGGGAAGGTTTCTTTTGATTCTGATTATCTTACAAAGCATATTTCATTTACATACCTAAATTCAAACACCCCTAAATCATCTTCTTCATCCACCATAACATCATCATCATCTTCTTCAACACCTTCATCTTCTTCAAAAATCCAAACCCAGCTCATCCATTAACCATTTGCTCCTCACATACGCATATACATACACCACACAATCGAAGATTTGGTTCCCAGTTTACAAACCCAGAAATTTGCAGACCTCCAACTACACACCAACCATCACCTCAATTACCCTTCTGTATCAACCTCCATCGTTTCTACAAACCTTACACCACTAGGAATGACCTCATGCATCATCTTCTTCACATACCCACCTCCATTACCTTCTTATTGATTCGTTTTTTTAGACTTGTTAATTGGTTAAGAGAGTGGGAATAACATAACGCGACACGCCACCAGGTTCTGCATCAATTGCAAAAAAGATGAGGGATGAGCAAATCTATTTTTTCTCTCTATATACACTTTCGATGCTACAACCCATCTGCAATCTTTCCTGCCATGATCCAACCATGGTCTTTCATGCAAGTCACAAAGACAAACAAACATACAATCACACCTAGTATCCTATATAGTATAGTGAGAAGACTCACCTCTCTATCAAAGTAGACTACACCACAACTCGTAAGATTGGAAGGCTGGTGTTACACACCACCTAAAGAAACACAAAAGGTTGAACCTTAGTCTACCATCTAAAACTAGTAAATTGACCAAACGTTAACTTGGTTAAAAAGTCAACTATCAATGGTCAAAGTAAACGATCAGTCACCGCACCGTGGCAACCACACGACAAAACAAACGCGGATGAAACTTTCCAACGCATCATGGATTCTAGACAAAACAAGTCAATTGATGAAACTCATAATCCATTAAGCCCAACACCCATACTTTCCAGAAAGCTTCTTAGCAATCAGAAGGTCCATGAAGATCATTGCTTTATAGACATGCATGTCCAATGCATGTCACACTCCAAGTTAGGTCAAAATGGCGAGAAATAGGATCAAAACTCCATGCATAGCATCAACTCAAACTATAAGTCGTGAAACATATGTTGCTCTTGGGACCTCAAGTAGTGATAAAGTTGCAAACTTTATCAACACTAACCATTCATATAAGCACAACATGGAGAAATAAAAAGACTTAACTGGTTAAATAAATAGACATCCAACTTCATAGGAGAGTGACACAATAAAAGACGAAATTGCCTTCGCATGGGATGCATGTGGTACACTTAACTGACATTTTTAAATTTGTTACATCGCCGGACCAAAACCACAAACAAAACCCAAATTTGAACCACCGGTGCAAGTTAAAACTCTTTTAGACCGAACCCAAAGAAAATTATAAACCACAATGATCGTTTTTGTATTTTTGTCCAAAATAATTCTTTAAACATCAAGGCAAACATTTTGAAACTTAAAAAGTTTACTGAATTATCGTCGTAATACCGATTTACGATGAACTATCTTCTCTTTGCTTGATTATTTTGAAACATTCTTCAGGGAGGCTTTTGGTGCACTTTTCCGATCCTTATTTGTTTCACCACCTTGAGTGCTTATCTTTTTTTAGAACAGCTGAATATATTAGAGCTAGCAAGAAGCTAAAAAAGAAAAAATAATTACAAAGGTAAAGCCATTAAGGGGTTTTGGAGCCAATCGTTCCATAAAGCCTTAACCTTTATGTTTTTATTGACAAACCACAAAAAAAAATCATCGGGACAAAACCTCGCGAGAAGAAAGTTTATTACCGGACACCATTTCGTTTCTAAATCTCCATAGCACCTAAAGCACCACTCCTAAGATAGCCTCGGGAGCCAAGAGATCATCAAACCAGCCGTAAACATCGCACAATTGGGGATTGTAATACGTCTATATAGTTCCTTTGTTATGGAGCCTCACATGTAACTGGGGATCCTAATTATCTTTGTAGAAATGTGTCTTAAAACTAATAAGTCTAGGGTCAAATATGTAAACAATGGACGAGTTTAGGGATTGTTCTTGTAAATATGGGAAAAGTCAAAGTGACTTTTTGACCATTTAGTTAGACGTACAGGAGAGTTAAAATTCAGTTTTACGTGTTCTGCTCTCTATATCGCATAAACACATACAAATTCAATACAAGAATCATTCTTGGGTCTTTAATTGTTAATTCTTCTACATTCCTTCGTAATTATTGGGTTATCCTTCTGCATTGGCACAACAATCTTGATGCTCGATCCTTCTGTTATTTCTGTATCCTTTGTTCATCCAAATATCATCTGAACAAATCAAAATAAGTTATAGCGATGTACGCTAGGTTTTACAATGATGATGATAAACCATAAACTTAGTATGCTATCTTATTATATGATTATAATCATGTTGTTCTGTTCTTCACATTACTAACTTTTTTTCAGCTCTTCTGCTCTCTGTTCCTGAAATTCAATTAGATTTTGGCTAACCCCCCAAAAAGCCACTGTCCCTTGAAGCCCGTGAACCTACTTGCATGATCATAACTTTTAAGAAATGCACTTTGGTTAGTGTTCTACAAGATATTTCAACATCATAATAACTCAAAATATTATGATAAATAAGAGCCGGTTTTTGTTTAACCAAAAAAGAAAATAAGAGACCTATAATACAATACAAGATCTTATTTCTTTGATCCTAAGAGTCTATTGATGGGTTTGAAGGAATCTTCGGAACTCTGATATGAACTTCTCAACTGCCCTATAATTATAGTCTATTGGTGGCACATATTCTTTTGGTATAGGGAGGGTGAGGGATGAACTGTTAGTCAACATGCCAACAACTTCTTCCATTGTTGGTCTTTTATCTGCATCTTCTTGAACACACAGCAACCCGATGTGGATGAATCTTGTTATGGAGCTTGGATTGGCATGAATTCCTGGATCAAGTATATTTGAAGATGTTCCTTCCATCCATTTTTTCCAAACCTACAATAATTTCACATACCTTTTATACTTCACTTATTACATGTAGTCCGTTTGAATTTCTCAAAAACGTAACACCATCATATAACATTTCTCTCTCACGCCACAAAATTAAGACATTATACAAAACGTAAAAGGAAAAAGAATAACCAAAATGCTTTTCCATGATTTAAAACTTTTGTAAGAATCAGAAATCCCTAATCACATTAAAAGTCAGGTTACATGTGGAAAAAGGTTGATAAATTTGTATGAAAATTCCTTTCAAAGATTGGGTCAATTTCAAAAAGCATTATATGTTTGTGTGTGTGTGTGTGTGTGTGTGTTTTTTTTAATATATAGGGTGTGAATGATAGTACAGATGCACAATTCTATCATCATAGAATCTGATCATCGATAATCATACTTACATTTCGTTCTAAGCAGTTGTAAATACTACTCCCAGTTGTGGTTTCCAAAACCAAGACACCAAAACTATACACATCAGCCTTAGCTGACTGACGATTATGCTTATGCAGTTCTGGTGCGATATATTCCCTGTCACATATGCAGATATTATTAGCTTCGACCATTACTACAAATCATTCAAATTTTGTGAAGGAAAATGAGAACACAAACACACGCACACGTATTCTATATCAAATTAGGTTTTCCATGAAAGATAATTTAGATCCTACAAAGTTGAAGGTAAGTCGCTTAAATTACTATTGTAAAGACTTTCTTCCTAAATGAACTCAATTTTTATACCTATTCGGGGAAGTTAAATTGGAGAATGGAGATTACCTTCTTGCTCACTAATATACCTATAGCAACATCTTTATCAATCAAAAATTGGTAATGGTTGACAAGATTTTACAATGCTTATCACTATTAAGGGAATACTCTTGATATTTTGTTAATACTTAATAGTCATTTCATTCAACCATTTTCTTAGTTATAAATGCATGAGCACTTAAAGTGAACCGAAACCATGTCATATATCTTTTGACAATGTGGAATAATGTATGAGGAATCAAGCCATTCTTTATGCTTAATATTTACAAATAAGCAGTGTACTCTTCACAGGAAACCATGACATGTGATGTGTAAACACTTCCCTTCCTAAATGGACCCAATAAAAGAAAAAAATTGTTGTGCCAAATGAAGAACTGAATGATTTTGAATCATCTAGTTTTAGAAAATTCAAGAACATCTGAAGGGTTGAATCCCGAAGATTGACAGTTTCTAAATGAATGGTTGTGTACTTACAAGGTCTCCCACAATGCATCCATTTCGACATAAACAGCCTCGTTTATTGTTGTTAAACACCTTGAGAACTCAAGATTTGACAGTTTGGGGTGGAAACGTTCATCTAAAAGAACGTTTCCAGGTATGACATTACCATGTATTACATCATGCTGGTGAAGGTAAAGAATTGCCCTAGCAACACCCAATATTACTTTCTTGCGCTTATTCCAGTCCAAAAGTCCTACAAAGACATATCATCAAGAAAAATGTTAGCCAAGTTTAATCTTTCATTTCAGCTTAAACTTTACATATAATAAGGTTGATTGTTTTCTAATAGACTCCAAGCATGAAATCCATATTTTAAGAGAAGTGATACCAAATATCGAGAGATGTAGATTGGAACAGAATGCGAAGTCATAGACAAGGAATACTTTTTTTCCTTCAATGGAATACCCAAGCAATGGAAGCAAATTCTCATGCTCAAGTTTTACCATTAATGACACTTCGTTTTTATAATCTTGACCACCTATTCTAGCAATTGATATTCCTCGTCCGTTTTGTAACTTTCCCTGAGAAGAAAAACCACGTTTGAGTTTTAAGCATCCTTTCGAAACCCAAAAATAATGTAATTATATAAGATACCTTGTACATGAATGGAGCCAAGCTACATCTTAACATTCTATTATCCTTAGCGAAATTCTCAGTTGCAGCATTAATAGTTTCAAACTCAAACCTGCGTAAGATTCTATTTTCACCTCCAACAGTATCAAAGTATAACTCCAAAGAGTTTAACCTTCTACCCCAAAAACTTGTCATGGACATGGCTGTGGCTTTCTCATGTAAGACTAGTATAGACTCAAGGCATGCCACAACCTCAGCCATTGTAGGCCGTTGCTTTGGATTGTTATGCACACACCGATTTGCAAGATGTGCAAACTGCTTCAAACATTTAGGCATCACTCCCACTCTTATAGTATAATCAACAATTTGCTTTAGTCTACCTTCTTTCATAGATTCTTGAGCCCAATTTACTAAACCCCAATGCTCCTCATCAAGACTTGTATCCACTGCTCGTTTTCCACTGAGGACTTCAAGTAATACTACCCCAAACGCATACACATCTGACTTTCTTGTCAACCTACCCGTTGCGTAATAGTCTGGATCTAGGTATCCAAAAGTGCCTTTCACAAAAGTCTTGACATAAGTCAAAGGTTGATTTATAGGAGCTAGTTTGGACAATCCAAAATCGGAAATCTTTGCAGCCCAATTATCATCTAACAAGATGTTTGAAGTTTTCACATCGCGATGTATAACACCATGCTTAATACCTGTGCCAGTGTGAAGATAATCTAAGCCACGAGCAACCCCTATGCATATTTTCAGTCGTCGAATCCAGGATAAAGGAGTTTGAAGTTTGTGAAGATGATCTTCAAGGGTTCCATGGGGCATATATTCGTAAACAAGGATCATCTCTTCACCATGATTGCAATAACCGATCAAAGACACTAAGTGGCAGTGTCTTAATTTAGAAAGCATCTGAACTTCATTCCAGAACTCTGCTGCTCCTTGATTAGAGGTTGAATCCAGGCGCTTAATGGCCACAACCAAATGAGTTGACCCATTAGTGATGGTTCCTTTGTAAACTATGCCAAACCCCCCATGACCGATTATCAATGACTCGTCGAAGTTAAGGGTTGCTAAGTTAATCTCCGAAATCGTAAACTGATGGAATTGTTGTGGAAAGAAGAATGATGAGAAGTCAACATCCATAGCATTAGTCAAGGAAAGAAGATGGATTCAGATATGAATTAGGATTTATAGGGAACGGATTTCCAAATATATATAACTATATCACATATATGCACATGAGTCATGGTGTGAAAGCATTTTTAGCTTCTTCTTTTTTTATAATTAAACATACTTACATACAGATTGTTGTTTGATATTGCTTCTCATCCGGTTTCTACAAAATTACGACATACTTTCGCAGAAATTGTTGTACCTTCCAGAAATGCAAGTGGTACGGTTTTGTGACTCAATGGCTTTGCTCCAGCGCTCCTGCGTTGACTTGCATTTTATCTTTAGCAAATGGAATTTCAGTGTCGCCGCTGGTGGTCGAAATACATCTATGATACTACAGAAGGAACTAGAAGTGGAGTACCGATACCGAATGATTAAAAAAATTTATAAAATAATTATTTCTTAATGTAAATAAAAAGAAATATTATTTTTTACGCATTTTTCGAAATAATTAGATAAGTTACAGTTTTCGTCCATGTGTTTACATCTTTATGTAGGTTCATTCCTATTTTAGAAAAATTGATCTGAATGGTTTTCATGGCTTCTAAATTCATCAGCATTGGTCCTGTAGCCAGTTACTGTATAAATGTCTCCGTTAAAAACATGTAAAATGAAGAAACTATCCATTTTGTTCTTTCAGTGTTTTTAATATATATATATATATATATATATATATATATATATATATATATATATATATATATATATATATATACAGAGAGAGAGAGAGAAAGGTTCAGGTGTTTAAAGTAATTATTGTGTTATTGTATGTATAAATGTGGGCCAATCAAAATTAAATAATTAAATAAATAAATAAGGGTAATTTAGTAATATGATTAATAACTTCCAAAAATAATCCCTATAATCATGATATTGACTTTTAACCTAATTTATCCAGGTTTATATCTAGTTGACTTTTTCTAACCCTAATTTTATCCCCTTCATAAATCAGCCTCACACCCTTACCATCGAATCGAACGATCGTGGGAGAAACGGGTGCAATCCCAGATTTCCATTCCCGATTTCTAACCCTTTCGCTCCGAATCAACAAATTACAGACCAATGGAATAGGTGGATGGGACAACAGATTTCCGGCGAGTCCCTTTTGGGTCTACTCCTCGTCGTTCTTGGTGTGTTCTGTGATGAGGCGCTTGGCGATTGAGGAAGGAGGCTCCTTCGGTGCTTGGCTGGACCGAAGAGGAAAAAGGAATGGAAGCATCGGGGGGGGGGGGGGGGGGGGGCTGTTGCTCCGATCGTAGTAGGTCAGGAGATTGGGGGTCTGCTTCAGCAGCTCCTCTGTTCTTCTTCTTCTTCTTCTTTTTTATTTTTTATTTTTTTATTTTTTTATTGCTCTTGACTGAAAATGATGAATGGAACGGATGTTTGTGTTGTTTGATTTTGAGGTGATCGACATGAAAGATGAAAAACACACACTATAGTGTGTGGTCATTGCAGAAGACGAAGAAGAAGGTGGAGGTGGGTTGTCACAGTCGATTGCTCGCCGATTTCCCTCTCTTTGTCATAGTCGACTGCTTACAACTTGCATTGGTTGGAATCGAAGCAGAAACACAAATTACACTCAACTAAGTCCCTAGCCGGGTAAACCACATGTCTCTGTTGATATTAACTCAATTAAGCAGAACAAAGTTTTTACAACTTTATTTTAGTTCAGTTCATTAAAATTAATGTGAACTTTAATCTGTTTCTTAGAGATAGTTTTCTACATGTTCATACTAAATTTTATATTCTATTGGAATGGAATCACGAATTCCAATTCTGTTGGAATGAAATCATGAATTCTAATTATGTTGGAATGGAGTATGGATATTTTCTCACTGATTTATGCATGTTCTACAATTCTTGGTTATTGGTTTTGGTGCAATTCACAAGTCCACATATTTTTCCAAAGGAATTTAGTTTTTTATTTTTCATTTGCTAATGCATTATTGGAATCTAAACTACAATTTGATTTTGTTTTCACAGAAGTTGATGCTTGAAGAATGGACCACAAAATTGAAAGTGATTCTAAGCAACATTATTCTTTTAGAATGTATTAGTGTCGATGTTAGATTATGTTTTCTTTCCCGTTTTGAAAGTTTTTTTAGTTTTATTCTTTAACAATAAATGTAATTCTTAACAATTGTTACCCGTATTTTATAAGAAATAATGTATTTTTTTGTTTTTATTCTTCAATTGATTGTTCAAGAATTTGTTATTCTACAAGAAGTTCTTAAAGTCATGATCAAGAATTAGGTTCAAGAATATTTTTATTATTTATGGTTCAAGAATATTTTTATTTTTGAGTAAATAATTAAATAAATAAACATATTCTGTCAGAATGTCCGAATTAAAATAATTATAATTCGTAAAATCGGATTTTTAAAATTAATAGAATCTATGATCCCTTAAAATATGCAATTTTCCTTTATTAAATCTATATTAATTGACTAAAATACCCTTGTAATTAAATTAGATGATATTTTCAATTATATTTAATTCAATAATATATATTAATCACTTTCTTAAAATAAGTAAAATTGATTGGCCTACATTTATGCATACAATAACACAATAATTACTTTGAATAGAATAACCTAAGCCTATATATATATATATATATATATATATATATATATATATATATATATATATATATATATATATATATATATATATATATATATATATATAAAGGTTCAAATGAGAACCACCAAAGGTTAAGAACTATTTAAGAACAATTTCATTAAGGGTAATTTTTTCAACATACATTCATAACATTACACCCATTAAACACTAGATCTGATACACTCAAACTTCAAAAAAACTTTCAAACTCTCTCAAACTTTTTCAAAACTCTCATGAATCTTCAAGAACTCATAAACTTCAACACCACCTCTACCACCAACTGCCACCACCTACGTCCGCCACACACCACTGCAACCATCTAGAACCGTCGCCTCCCTCAAAAGTTGTCGCTCTACCACCACCTTAAATCGCCGACCAAACTCACCACCACCACCTCCAAGCTCTCATATATCCGATGAGACTCTTGTTATCCCACTCAACGAGATCGAGATCAACGTGAGCCTCAACTTCGTGGAAGAACCTGTAGAGATCATGGACCGAGAGGTCAAAAGGACGAAGCAAAGCCGTATCCCGATAGTGAAAGTTCGCTGGAATGCCAAGCGAGGTCCCGAATTCACTTGGGAGCGCGAGGATCAAATGAAACTTAAATATCCTCATCTTTTTACTTAATTGTTTGTAATAACTTAGTTGCTTAAAATCTAATTTCAGGACGAAATTCCCTCTAACGGGGGGATGATGTGACAACCAAAAATTTCCAAGCTTGTTTAATTAATTAAACCTATCAGTGTTAGACTCATTTGGCTTCCAGTCATCACTGTTTGGAACCTGTTTTGAGTGTTCTAACCCTAGTACATCAAAGGAATAAGAGATTGGGAATAGCAGCTTAACTTCTTAACTGCCTGCAACCGTAAACCTCCTCAAAAAGGGAGTTTACGGTCAAGACCAATGAGTTTACGGTCATGGTGACCGTAAACCCATCCCTATATATATGGAGGGTGATCACTTCAGCCATTCTTTTCCCTCTTTCAAGCCTTAGAACCGATTCTCTCTCAAAAAGCATAAACTTTTGCTTCCAAATCTTCAAGAACAAGTAAGTGATTCCTTCTTTGTGTGTTAGATCCTTCCTAAATCCATGTTTCACTCTTGATTCATCCAAGGGTTTCATATTTTATCTAGATCATCAAAGATCCTCAAGAACACGGTTGTGTTTTGGACCGAAAACACCTTCTTTGCCTTCAAAACCGTAAGTATCATCTTCCCTTTCATGAATCTAGTTACAATCCTTCATTTTGGACTTAAGATCATCACTCTTTACTTGAACAAAAGAGTTTACGGTCTATGAATCTTCATAGACCGTAAACCCTTATAAAGGGTGTTCTTATAGCCTCTACTCTTCCTAAGGCTAAGCATGGTCCCTAGAATCTGATGCCTTCGAATGAAGCTCTTGAAAACCATCATTTGTGCAAGATTTGATGAGTTTACGATTGAATCTCCTTAGACCGTGAACTCCATGACCGTAAGGTCATTGGACCGTGAGCACTAAGACCGTAAACACCTAAGACCGTAAACTCCAAGGACCGTGAACACTTGGACCGTAAACTCCAAGGACCGTGAACACTTGGACCGTAAAATCCAATGGTCATACCTCTTTGACCGTAAACTCTATAGGGTGGCCATATACCCTAGTTATGCAATCATATGTGATTGTATCCCATAAATCTTAGAGTTTCCTAACCAATAAGGGTGTTACCCTTCTTATTTAGTCGTCTATACACTAAATTCATATACATACATGTCTATATGTGTCTATTAGGATCATTGTGTGCTCAAGGTTACATCTGACACTCTACAATCCTTTTCCAACCACACGTCAGAACCACTCACTACATGTGAGTTCATACCCCTTAATCAACCTTTGAAATGATTTTAAATGCTTTTATGGGGGGGGATACAAGTTGAAACATTCTAGTTATTATATTAATCACATGTGATTAATAACTAGAACAAACAGAAAGATTTTCTATTACTTTCAAATTGTTATCAAACTTATGGATTTCAAATACTTCAAAACATTTTATCAAGCTCTTTTAAATGCTAAATCCTTTATCAAACTCTTTTAAACTTATATTATTGTCAAACTCATGTCTATACAAATATATTTATATAAGTAAGATTTGAAGGACTTAGGACTGATAGCTCAATTTATTCCTGTTCCTTGTTTGCTTGTGGACTTAGAGTACCCTGTTATTTGTCCGAATGTCATTGAAATCTTAGTTATATATCATATATATGTGTTTAGATATAAAAGCTTTTACTTCAGTTCAATACCTTTGGGTAGCAAAGGCATACAAACAACATTACTAGTAATTATAATAGGTATAGTTTAAGAGATTACTACTCACTATGACTAGTACAATGAAACATACAAGAGTCAGTTCACTTATGAGTCGATACAAACCTACTATTATGAGAACAATACGCACTATACACTATACAAGAGAACATACTATACACTAGTGCAGAGAGAACATTACTACACTATGACTTACTATACAAACACTAGGATACGATAATTTAATTGTGAAATACTACTTCAAGATACAACAATACATTGTTGTATCCCTTTGTAACCAGAGTCTCCTGGAGGGAGAGCGGGCATCGTGTGTATAGATCTATACGGGACAGACACTCCCACACCCCGACTGGTAGCTACAGTCCCCAGCCGATAAGGCCAAGGGGTGACAAAATGTCACCTCACTAT